GTAAAGACATGGAGTAAAGAACCCTCAGCCATGTATCATCAACAATATTTCAGAAGAAAATATGAAGAAAGTATGAGTAAGAATTCTAACATGGAGATCTATTCAGAAAAAGCCTAGGGGGAACAGATGGCTTGTTAATTTTTTCAATTCTCATTCCCTAGAATTCAACAGGACAGTATTCTAGAGAATAAAAAGACAGTTGCAGCGAAGAAAATTTTCTTTTCGACGAAGTCATCATCTAGGCTGTACATTCGTGTATTTATATCAGATGGATGGGAAAGTTCCAGAATAATTTCCGGTTAAGGGTCAAATTAATAAAAATTACAATTAGGAATAAGAATGCCATAATAAACAGGGCAGTGGGACGGATAAAACTCGAACAAAGTAGCATTATAATAACTAAGAAGATTGACATTGTGCAATTGGAGGTTAGAAATGTAGAAATAACAAAATAGATAGACGGGATGTTTGGATAAAAAACTAATATGATGAATAATTGTTTATGCAATCAGGGATTAAATATGTAGAAATAGTAAAATGACAAAATAAACACGGTGTGGATATGAAAATATGGTAGTGTAAATAGTGGAGGGATTAAGACAGAGGAAAAACTTAAAATAACATGAATAAACAGGAAGTTTGTGTAAGAAAGTCAATGGGATAGTCACTATTTGAAGAATTACCTGTTTATGATGGCCATGGCAGGGACAAGGGTGGAACATAGCTTGAGTTTGAGCTTTTGGATAGCTAGTGCCTCGGCTATGCCCAGATGTCTTAATTTCACTCCCTTTGATAGGTTTGATTGAATCTTGTATATTACTTTGAAGGATTTTTCGAAAGGCGCATACGTATTTGATCCCTGATTGTATAAACAGTTATTCATCACACTAGTTTTTTATCCAAAAAGTCTGTCTATCTATTGTTGTTATTTTTGCATTTCTAACCCCCAATTGCACAATGTCAGTTTTCTCGGTTATTGTAATGCTACTTTGTTCGAGTTTTATCCGTCCCACTGCCCTGTTTATTATGGCATTCTAATTCCTAATTGTAATTTTTATTAATTTGCCCCTCAACAGGATATTATTCTGGAAGTTTCCCATCCATTTGATATAAATACACGAATGTACAGCTGTCTAGTTGATGACTTCGTTTAAAAGAAAAATTTCTTCGCGGCAATTGTCTTTTTAATAACACCATGATTTGTTTATATTTGAATTTTCGTTTGTTAAGTTATGTAGCTGTATATTTGAGTTAAGTCTGTGAAGAGATCTAATTGAAAGCACAATATTGTACACCAATGACAGTATAAATTTCCAATAGCATACGAAGCAGCATTTCTGAATACGAGAACTACATTTCCATGCAGTTGACAACGCTTGAAGTCAAAAACGGGTATCAAGAAGTTGAAAAGACTTGGTTGATGACCTTCAAGTAACTTACTCATATGGTGATTCTTCCGCTTTTGAACGGGCTTCTTGAAGCGATTGGAAGAAACATGCATTCCAAAAACGTAACGATTGCCATATCGGTTGATTTTTGATATACGCAAAAATGAATGTACGATCAGTTGACACAGAAGGATCTATTAAATGAATAATTTGATACATTTGAAGGGTTATTTTCTGTGTGTGTGTGTGTGTGTGTCTGCAGTACACATTAATTTAAACTAAGAAAAATAACTTTAAGAAGAATAGTATCAGTGTGGAGATAGGAAACGCGAAGCTCATTATAAAGCTGGCTACCATTTTTAAAATAACATGTCTTTTGATGTGGTTGTGTTCTCCTCTGAGCTAACTGGATAGTAGTTAATTTGCGAAGCTTTCATTATTGCCCTACTACTAGGCAGGAGACATCTTCCTTCAGCGCATACACTCACTACAATTTCAATTGTTGAAGTGAGCTTTTCGATTTCTCCTCCTGGTCGGTGACCACCTTGGACCTGATTGCTTGTTTTTGTGTGTTTTCATGCCCTCTAGGCGGCTACTTGTATCGATATTGGAACTGATTGTTTCTTTGACTTGAACTTTGACCCTTTGACTGTATGTGTGTGTAAGGTTTCCTTCTTATTGATTGGTAAATTTTGTCTATCTCGATGTGTGTCCATTGATTGATGATTCATTGGAATACAAGGCAGCCTTCTAAAATTTCTTTAGCATTTTTGTCCCAGTCGACTGGCACAACGTTCAAATATTAGACGCACGAAACAACACCAAGAATGCTAGAGAATTTTTAGAAGCCTGACTGGTATTCCAGTGAATTACCATTCAAAAGATAGACACATCGAGATAGACAATGTGCATGCCTCGGTGGCATAGCGGTTCGGACGCTCGCCGACCATGCACATAGTCCGAGGTTCGATCCCCGGCCACCGACGCACTCCTTTACCTCGGTAAGCCAGAACTAAAAAAGCTGGTGAAGAGGAAAGGTTGGGCATGAGGCTGTCTAGCAACCCCATCCTGTAAAAACAAACATTACTACAGAAACTTCAAGCCTCTAGCTTGGAGCCCTATGTTCCACTGGGAACGTGAAGGAATAAAAAAAATAAATAAAAAACCCGCCTAGTGCCGATTAATTTTCATTTTTAATCAGTTAGGGAACCACTGGAAAACCTGCAAGGAGTACTGGAGGACAGCCAGCTGATTTTCTTCAGCCTAGTTTGGGACACTTCATCAGTACGCACCGACCGCCAATTTTCGAACCAGAGACCTTCTAGTTACAAGACTAGTGAGCTAGCGCAGACCCAGACCATTAAGTCACTCACTGGGACCCGATGCAATGGCTAGTCAGCCCATGAATTCCAACTTCTATTATTTTTTTAAAATTATTTTCGATTACAGCTTGATGCCACATCGTATTTCCAGTACAAGTATGGAATTTTCATCCGAGATATCGGTAGCCCAAATTTTACGGGCCGACCATAGATATCGAGTATGCGTCGGCAGGGGATCGAACCCCGGACCATGTGCATGGTCGGCGAGAGTACTAACCATTGTGCTATTTCTGTCAATTCACGCACGACATAGCGCAACCATTTCTCAATGTCTTCTTCTTCGATGAGTGAGTTGCTGCCTTATTTTCAACCTGCTGGTGTACCCTACTGGTAACGGCTTCCCACTAGAACCACCCCAGGTCACTCACTGCCTACCTGAATAGGGCCAGTCGCTAGTGAGCATCAGATTAATTTTCAAGTATTGGTTTTGTAGGGATTTTGTTTGATTGCATGGAGGATTTCATCATGAGCTGACATGAATGCGTACTGTTGAATAGCCGGTGCCAAACTAGGCTGACGAAACAGCTGGCTGTCCAGTACTCCCTGGTTGGCTTTCCAGTCGTTCTCTAATTCCATGTTTCATCCATTTAAGGTTGATCACACTAAGCATATGAGCTTATTCATTTCATTATTAGTGGAGTGGAATTAAAGTCATATCACTGGGGACTCTTGTCCCGTACAGGAAGCAAATAAAATGAGAAGCTAACAGAGAAAACAGATTGCGCCATATATATTTTGATGTGGTTTTGTTCTCTGAGCTAACTGGATAGTAGTTAATTTGCGAAGCTTTCATCATCGCCCTACTACTGACAGGAGACATCTTCCTTCAGCGCATACACTCACTTCAATTTCAATTGTTGAAGTGAGCTTTACGATTTCTCCTCCACGAGTGGGTTTATTAACCATCTCTCCTGGTCGGTGACCACCTTGGACGTGATTGGTTGCTTTCGTGTGTTTTCACACTCTCTGTACGCGACTACTTGTATTGGAACTGATTGTTTCTTTGACATGAACTTTGACCCTTTGTGTCTCAGGTTTCTTCCTTATCGGTTGATAAATTTTGTCCATCTCGATGTGTCTATTGATTGATGATTCACTGGAATACCAGTCAGGTTTCTAAAAATTCCCTAGCATTCTTGGTGTTGTTTCCTCTGTCTTATATTTGAACGCTGGTTGTCCCAGTCAAATTGATGTCCGTGGTTGTCTATATGCAGTGAGGCGATTTGAGTGACGAAGTGGATTTCATGTCTTTTGACAGGTAGCTTATGATCATGGATACGAAGACGAAGAGCAGGGACGTCCACTTTGGCCAATTCAGTTAACCCAGTCAAAAGTAGATAAGTACCCTACTCACGTCAACTCTAACTGCATTTACCAATTCACGTGCACCTGCGGAAGCAAGTACATAGGAAGGACTGAGAGGACAGCATCTACTAGATTTTCGGAGCACATTCCTAAGAGTCTCCGTACAAAAGGAAGAAAAGTGTTATCAAGTGCAATCGCCAGACATTTAATTGACACAGGACACACAGTAGAAATTAGCCAAGCCTTCAAAATAATCAATACACAAAGAAACCCACGGCTACTTCGCTTCGCAGAAGCCATTGCTATCAAGAAGTTTCGACCAGACCTTTGTATACAGAAAGATAGTGTGATTAATCTTTCACTACCTTGGTAACCCTAACTCTGTTTTATTTTATTTTTGTTTTGCCTTTCTGTCAGTATGCCTGTGTGTTTGTCTTGTTACGTAACATTCTATTCAATTTTGACCTTCAAGTTTCTAAATCTACTTAATTGTTTGTCTGTTTAAGTTAAAAATGTTACTTCACTATTCACCCCCACCCTCTTAAACTCTCCACCACAAGATGTGTAAATTTACTCTGTTCTCTGACCCTGACCTTGTAATATGCCTCTAACCAATCTGTGTTGTTTTCCAATAGAAATCTGAACTCTTACCCCTCTTATCCAATTCCACTATATATAATTAGTTGTTTTTTGACACCGAATAATCTGTCTACCTACATCAAATTCTGGAATTATGTTTCTTATGCCTTCTATCTATAACTCAAAGTAATTATGAAAAAGTATGTTCCAAACCTTTTTTAAACTTATAATTTGATTTTGTTTAGGATGTATGCAGTTGATGAGAATCCACGAAATAAAACGAGCTCGTATTATCCTGCAAACATGTTCATTCTTTCTCTCTTCAAATTCAGTTAGTGTTTTTCGCAGTTGTTACAATTTATTTCGTAGATGTAGATGTTGTTTTTATCTTCTTTCGTTACTAAGTCTTTCGGCTGACAACAGACACATCGAGATGGACAAAATTTACCAACCAATAAGAAGGAAATCACACACACACTGACACACACACAAAGGGTCAAAGTTCAAGTCAAAGAAACGCTCAGTTTCAATATCGATACAAGTAGCCGCCTAGAGGGCATGAAAACACACAAAAACAAGCAATCACGCCCAAGGTGGTCACCGACCAGGAGAGATGATTAATAAACTCACTCGTGGAGGAGAAATCTAAAAGCTCACTTCAACAATTGAAATTGAATTGTATGTACTGAAGGAAGATGTCGTCTGCCTATTAGGGCGATGAAAGCTTCGCAAATTAATAATAATAATTTTAATGATATGCTTTATTCCAAAACAGCACTTGTAATACAGAATGGAATTCTCAGCATTTTTACTACAGTGTTGCATCCAGTTAGTACATTATCAATAAATAGAATTCTACATAGATTAAGGAAACCACAGTTCATTATTACAACAACACATTGGCACGTCGGTAGCAAAGGTAAAGCTGAACAGTCTTTGAAGGTGTTAGAAAAGTAGGTGCTGTCATATTTACTGGCGTAAGCGAGAGAAAGAGACAAAGCAGCACATAACGGAAAAAGAAGAGAAAAAGAGAGAGAGAATAGGAAAAGAAAGAAAGAAAATGTTGTACCTATTGATGATGTGGGTTGGAAAGACGAGATCCAGTTGTACTACTGACTATTTAATGAATTATAGGTGTCACGTCTAATGCTTTCTTTATCACACAGAATACGAGCTAAGTAGGGTATGATTGAGTTTTTGTACTTGCTGGTGCGAGCATATAGTTTTCTATATATAGGCTTCTGGTTTCGCCTGATGAGATGCAAGGGGAGAGTTGTGAGTGAAAAGGGTGGTGTGAGTTAGATAAAATGGATTTAGCCTATTTTTTACATAAGTCGACCAGAATATTAACCAGCTGGTTAAGTGGCACGTTGCTCACCCTGCTGACAACCTTTAACATCCTGCGTAATATGTTATAGTCTTTCTTCAGTAGCCCTGGAAAAACTAAGGGGGAACAATAGAGAATAATAGGCAGGATGCGAGAATTAACGAATTGTAGGAGTAAGGGTTGGGTTGGGTTATACCAGAATGTTTTAATTTCTTGATGTAGAAGGTGAGACGGAATATTTTCTTAGAAATCGCCAAGATATGAGACGACCAGGAGAGATGAGCAGATAGAATGACGCCTAGGTATTTGATCTCCAATTTGGTTTCTATTTCCAGTTAGCTCAGAGAACACAACGCCACATCAAAATCATACACCATCTGAGCTACAAATCTTCCCCATCATGCCATATATATATTTATATATATATATATGTATAGTTATGACTTACCATAGGTGTAGAACTGCAGTGATATAGTGAGAAACTTTTTAGCTGGTGAAAAATCTTCAGCATTTTGACATTCGACTAACAGCAGTCCAATTTGATCGAGTAATTTCGGTAAGGCTTGCAGGTCTACCAAACCTTGAGTACGACGAGACTAACAACACACCAATCCCAATCGGGGATAAAGATTGTATTGATCATACCGGCAAAAAAGACGAAAAAAAAATCACCAGTTTTAAAAAGAAATTTATGTTACCGAATTAATAAAAATACAAAGAAAGAGGAAACATTATTGGCGTGCAGAATAATCTGGATCCATTTTTGATTTCGTCGGTTCTCCTCATCAGCAGCTGATGCGTACAACCTGAATTCTTTGATAAAATAACAAATAAAAAATTGTGTACAATTTTAACAAACTTCTGTCCATTAGCAAGCATATTGTCAGAGTGTCATAGTGAAATAAGGCGTTGAGATTTACAAAGTGTCTAAAGAGTTACGACATATATATATATATATACCAGTGTACACCAACCCCCCGCAGACGAAATCAGAAGTCCTGAAGGCAATCAAGATGCTAAAAGCTGGAATAGCAGCAGGACCAGATGGAATCCCAGCAGAAGCATTGAAAATGGACCCAGAGACAACAGCGGACTTGATGACGCCACTACTAGAGAAGGTGTGGAAAGAAGGCAAACTACCCGAGGATTGGAAGAAAGGATACTTATTCAAACTGCCAAAGAAAGGAGACCTAAGTCAATGCAAGAACTGGCGCGGAATTATGCTCCTGTCCATCCCAAGCAAAATACTAAGCCGCATCATCCTGGAGAAAATGAAACACGCCAACCTGGATGAAAAACTTCTACCGGAACAGGTTGGATTCAGGAGAAACAAGTCATGTATTGATCAAATCGCCTTATTACGGATTACCATTGAACAAATCCTGTTTGGAATGGCAGTCACATCTCTATCTCAACTTCATCGACTTTGAAAAGTCCTTCGATAGCGCAGCGTCGATCGAGAGGTGATTTGGAAACTACTTCGCTACTACCAAGGGGTTCCGCCGACAATTATACATCTCATCCAACAGTTGTACGGCAATGCTGCATTCCAAGTAATCCACAACAGGAAACTTACGGAATCCTTCGAAGAAGTGAGGATAGGAGTAAGACAAGCTGACTGCCTACTATCGCCAATGATTTTCCTGATTGCAGTAGATTGGATGATGCGACAAACAGCGGGCAATGAGGAAACAGGCATAAAATTGTCCCACAGGAAGAAAGAACCTGGAAGATCGGACTCTGGACTTCACTGATGATATATGTCTGATGTCCCACAAACTGGAAGATATGCAAGCAAAAAGCAACAAGTTGGCAGAACAAGCATCCAGAGAAGATAGGACTTCAGGTGAACATAGAGGATTCTTGGGCAACACCAACAGTAACAACAACAGACAACAATCAGCCAGCATAAATGCGAGGAACCTGAAAGAAACCTCTTTTACGTACCTGGGAAGCATCGTTTCAACTACAGGCGGACAGAACTGACGAGGATATCAAAGCAAGAATCGGAAAAGCAAGACAAGCTTTCACTACTCTCAAGTCTGAGTGGAGGTCAACAGCACAAATCAGCATCAAAAATAAGATCCGAATTTTCAACTCCAATGTGAAGTCAGTCAGTGCTACTCACAATACGGATCAGAGACTTGGCTAGCGTGTCATGAAGGACATTTCAAACAAACTACACACCTTCAGTAACAGTCGTCTTCGCTCAATACTTCGCTCAAGATCAGATGGCGGGACAGAAAAGTTCAGCAACAGAGATCTCTGGCAATGAGCGAACCAACACAGCAGGAACCGATTGTGAAACAAATAGGCAGGAAGAAATGGAGGTGGATTGGATTGGCCATACTCTGAGGGAACAAACCATCAAGTGACATCGCTAGACAAGCCATTACTCGAGTGGAGCCCGAAAGAGAAGCGGCGAGTTGGTCATCAGTGTGCGAGGGTGACTTGGAGGAGGTCATGTGAAGAGGAGATGAAAGCATGTGGGCAGACATGGAGCCAGGTGAAGACTCCAGCAGAGAACCGAACGCAATGGAGACGCACGGCTGAAGCCAGCCCTATGTTCCTCTAGGAATTAAATGAAACATTAATAATAAATATATATATGTATATATACATATACCTTGTTAGAGAGAAGTTTCTTGAAAACAAATTAATTAACAGTTGTGTTGTTGGGGTGATAACAAAAAAACTACTAATAGTTACGTAATTAGATGAAAGAAGATCAAAATCTTGGTGCATGTGAGGTCAGACGAGAAGTTGGTGATGTAATACAGTGAGCAGAACTCAGAAGATCAAGAAAAATTATCTCTGAAGAGAGTCAAGCGAAAAAATAAAGGTGGGGTGTGGGTGGGGAGAGTGAAAAGATAAGTTAACAAAATTAGAACACAAAGAGAGTTACTAAGAAGAAGTGAGTCACCAGTATAACTGAAGTCCAACAACAACGGATTCATTTTTGGACACACATAAGTCAGGCTTCAATCGTTTTATTGCTATAGCTTCAGCAAACCTGAGAAGACTTGAGGTACTTTGTCTCTTAATTATTTTGAATGATTCCAGCACATCTACTCGGTGCTGTACTGTCCTGTGTCAGCCAGGTGTTTGGCGGCGATTGAAGTGGGTGGAGACTGTAAATTCATGAATTTGTAATATTATCTTTCCTAATTCAACTGACATTCAGTGTGTATTGTTATGTTGATTCTATTGAACTGTAATCCATTGGTATTATTATTATTATTGATTCGATGTTATTTAAACAGCAACATTGAGTCGTAATAAAATGTATATGATGGGAATAATAATGATAATAATAATAATAGTAATTATAATAGTAAACTTACATAATAAAAGAAAGAAGCAAAATTATAGTAAATACTTTACTCTGGTCACGGTAGGGCGAGAGAATGCATGTATCGCTTTCGAATGCACAGGTCCAGTTTCAGATCTCGAATAGCTAATGCTTCAGCTATGTAGAGATGGCGTATCCAAAGTGCCTTTGTACGATATTGAGGGACTATGTGTATCACTGTGAAGCACCCATGTGGAAGGTGATCGATTTCCAGTCTGCACTTTGCGACCACTGGAAACAAAGGATAACTAGGTATCTACTAGGGAACGGGTATCCACCAAGATTCAATGACAAGAACATGAGAGAGACGTCACCACACGTCACCAGACATCGCAACGTTTCCGAAGAAAACTCTCTTCTAGAACTTGGAATTCAAAGATGATATATCAGCGGAAGAAATTCTCAGAAACCGCCTTTCTAAATGTCTGAAGAAGACATTTCCAACAGCCACTCTACGTATCACATTCTCCTGCAGACAGTTAATCTAACAGTCTAACGCTAAGGACAAGATACCGCTTTTGGCCACTTCAATGTGCATTTACATCAATTTACTTGCTCGTGTGAAGCAAAGTATATCGACCATATGTTGCAAAGTCAAGTCGACAAACTTATTCTGGAACACTGTCCAGCTTGGTTAGTCAGCCAGAGGAGAAAAGAAGCACCTTGTCATCTCGGGACATCGAGCACGCCCACTTGTATGAATGCTTCACAGTGCAACATACAGTCCCCCCATATCGTACAAAGGGACTTCGTATACACCATCTGTACATAGGTGGAGCATTAGCTATTCGAGATCTGAACCCGGACCTCTGCATCCAAAAGTGATACATACATTCTCTCGATATAAGTGTAAAACTTGGGCACTGTGGTACAGCATAACTCCGTTATGGATAAGATTTTTTTTTGATAAATCACACAGTGTTGTACAGCAACATTAACTGATGCGACCACGCTTCGAGCATAAACTATTGCTCATAATCATATCAAGTTGATATATAAAATCTTATCCATAATGGAGTTATACATTCTCTCACCCTACCATGGCCAGAGTAAAATCCTTACTATAATTTTGCTTCTTTCTTTTAAAAGTTCACTATTATTATTATTATTATGATTATTTATACTATAATTTTATTGTCATTATTACTCCCATTATCCACATTTTATTACCACTCTATTACTTTTTACGAATTGATCACGGATTGACGTCAGTTAGAGAACCATTGAGAACCAGCCACAGGGAGTACTGGACAGCTGCTGTTTCATCCTTGTTTAAGAATCATCGGCAGTACTCACCCACCGTAGCGGGGTTCGAAAGTAGGACCTTCCGGTTACAAGGCAAGCTCGTATAGCATTCAACCACTGGGACCCGATTCAATGGCTCATGAATTGTAACTTCTAACAATTCGTGATTTTAGCGCGACCCTAACCACTGTCGTTAGTGGGACACCCATCCACACACGTGACATCTAATTAGACCTCAATGGTCACGACTTCTCACTAGAACTCCAGGAAGCTCCATCCTGCAGCAAGTCACAAGCGAGCATCAGATTAATATTCTATAGTTTGGTTTGTAAGGGTTAGTTATGTGTTTTTTTATTCGGGTCCCAGTGGGTGAATGGTATACGAGCCAGCTAGCTTGCCTTGCTTGTAACCGGAAGATCCTGGGTTCGAACCCCGGTGCAGTGGGTGCGTACTACCGATGATTCCCAAACTAGGCTGATGAAACAGATGGCTGTCCAGTACTCCCTGTGGCTGGTTTTCAATGGTTCTCGAACTGATATCAATCCGCGATCAACTCGTTAAAAGAAAACATAACTAACTCTTACAAACCAAACTATAGAAAAACCCTCTATTACTATTTATTAATAACATTGACAGCGTCGGTTGAGAGGTGATTTGGAAACTACTTCGCTACTATGGGGTGCCACCGACAATAATACATCTCATCCAACAGCTATACGACAATGCTGCATGCCAAGTAATCCACAACGGGAAACCTACGGAATCCTTCGAACTGAGGACAAGAGTAAGAAAGCTGCCTGCCTACTACCGGCAATGATTTTCTTGATTGCAGCAGATTGGATAATGTGACAAACAGCGGACCGGGCAATGAGGAAACAGGTATAAAATCAACTCACACAAAAAACCTGAAGGATCTGGACTTCGCCGATGATATATATCTGATTTCCCACAAACTGGAAGATATGCAAGTGAAAAGCAACAAGTTGGCAGAAGAAGCAT